ATACGATAAATTTATTAAAGAATCTGTCACTATATATATATTGTAAAATATTTTGCGATAAACTCGCGCGCACACCGTGAAAGAAAATGAAAGATATGTTCCAATTTATAATGCGGACGTCTTTTAATATGTATTTTATCTACCTCGTTCAACTTCATGACAGCGCAATTTCGTTCGACAGTTAAAATCGATGTTAAACCGGTGAATATATATATATATATATATATATATTGAATTTTTCAACTATGCAAGATATCGAAATCCTGTTTTTACGATATTGTGTGGCGTCGAGGGAGACATATTTTGATTAATAAGATTTGACCTAGTAGACCTTCTGGATAGAAGTATTAAGGTCAACTTCATTTTTGTAAATGGCAATCTAATTTTTTCACTTACGACGTCTAAGACTTGGAGATTATTCGGAGTCAAGACCTTGACAATATATGTTAAGGTAAAGATTATCGGAACGGATTCTCTCCATCGGCATATTTACCAAATCGAATTTTTTCGAAAATTAATTAATTATTATTTATTCCCCTTTAAGTAATTTTTGTTTTATTACATTTTCAGGTAATTTTTGTTCTTTAAACATTTTTTTATAAAAATCATTTCCTTTTATTTGAAAATAATGTTAATAATGTTAAGATATGGTACAATTTTGAAAATGCACTCGAAAAGTCTGATTGCATTAATTGAAACTGTAGTGAAAACTTAAAAATGAATAAATCACAGAATTTTCTGGTTGAATCTATTATAACTCTAGTTGAGATAACCATAATTCTAACTGATATGATCAGAATTTTCCGATTCGTTTATTTTCAATCAGAAAATTTTTACAGCATGGTATATAATTACGAACAAAATAGGATTTGAATCCAATTTCGAAGTTCAAGTTTAATTTTTTCCTTTTAACACGACACATTTTCGCCAAGTAACGTGCTGGTAGCAATAATCAAAATTGTTTAAAAAATGTTTATAAGGCAAAACAACCTTTGATAATAATTTATTCGTATAAAACTCGAGCGAAACATATCAGAACTATTGTCAAAAATACCCAAAATTATCGGATCGACACGTTTCTATGGAGTTTGAATATTCTAATCTGTGTAAAAATTATTAATTGTGCGAATTTTGTCCTGAAACGTCATATAATAATCAATCTAGCTTAAAAAAGACGGGAATACTTGACAGACGTCGTAAAATTCGATGGTACTTTAGAGGAAGTTATGTCGTGCTGAACGTAAAGTTAGCATTTCTTTATTTTTGATTTTTTAATATTAAAAAATTATGCAGAACATTTTGTTATTGTTGAAAGAACAGTAAAACAATAGAAAGTGCTACCGAAACAATCACTTTTTGAAAATTAAAATGCCATGCTAACTTCACAGACACGGATAGTTTAAATATCTTAATATTAGCGTTGCCAAACATGCATGAAATACGGATGTAAATCAAACGGAACAAGTTCAGAATATGTACACTGCTTAATACACTGCAGAATATGTACGTGCAACAGGTTCGAGGATTAGTGTTGACGTCAGCGAACAACGTGTTTTAACGGTACATCAAGTATGAGAAATTAGAAACTTGAAAATGGATACATAACGCATTCTATTGAAAATTATCTCGTTTGTTAACAGCATCGTGTTAACTCGAAGGTCACTCGAGAAGTCAATTAAGGAAATACACGCACATATATTGAAAACATTAGCAAGTAAATGTTGCAAAAATTAGAGGAGAAAAATTGTCACATATTTAAAGTGTAAAATGCAGATTTAATAAATTAACAAAATTATCTAGTTACACTAATGAGAGATCCGTGGTACTAACATAAATACATAAAAACATATGCCACAGAAATGTTATTATTTTAATCAAAATTTTTATAACTTTTCTCACCATTACAAAAAAAACAAAAATTCAAAATACGAAATTAAAAAATAAAAAATTGTTTTTTATTGTAGTTGAAGTTATTTTCGTTAAAATTTACAATGTTTACATATAAAATTGATTATCTATTTTAACTCATCATTAATATTATTCTCTCTCTTATTTAATATATCTTATTATTAACCTATTATAATATTTCCTATATAATAATAGCATGATGTAATAGATGTATGTATGTACTACAATATTCCAATATTCGACATAATAAATAAATTTATTTGTTGATTCTTTTATTTAAAAAAGAAGATTTAAAAGAAAAAGTTATTTTTAGCTAAAGAATGTAAGAAATTAAAGAAGAAAAGAATAACACACATTTTGTCACACCATTATACTTTACCTGCATATAAAAAGCTTCTCCTCTTGTGATGACAAAACTATTGGCTCGATCATCTGTTTGTAAAGCGAAGAGGCTCGCTGCTACAATCGATAATGCCGCTGAAAAAAGAAATTAAACAAATCGATTTATAAAATTTCCAGTTTTCAATCTTATTCAGACGACTAAAATTATATACAATATTAAATTTCATACAATTTCGTTTTTTTTTTTAATGCAATATTATAACGCAATTCATTATATTATTGTACAAAAACTATATGAGTAAGAAAGACCCAAATATTTGTGCGTGTTGGTGAAATACACTGGAAAAAAAGTACTAAATCTTATTATATATATATTTTTTAAACAGTACCAACTAAATACTTACTTAAGTATACTAAATAAATATTTACTTAATAAAAAGTAAATTAATGAGTAAATTAATGGTTTCTATAACAAATATTAATATACGTTTACATTTAATAAATATTTACTTAGTACCGTTCAAATAACTATTTATTAAAATTTGGTATATATTTTTTTAATATTCAATATTTTCTTAACTTATGAAAAGTCATTATATAGTCAACACAAGAATAAAAGAGATTACGTGGTACTGTCGCAGCGCATTATAATATTGCTTTAATATAAGATAATCTCCCGTAGACAAACACACACATTCAATGCCTCGTATAAGGGCTCGCACATAAGTCAGTAAATAGACGAGTGTGAGCAAGCGATAATTCTAATATATTATGCGCCCGTATATATATATATATATATATATATATATATATATATATATATATATATTATATATTTAATTGATTAACGTAGTTACATTAAAAATCAAAAATACAATTTCTAAAATACATATCTAAATATATTTGTATAGGCTGTAATTAACAAATAAAAATTTAGTGAATGACATTAATTATTTATCTTTGAATA